GAAGGAGCATCTGTCAAAGACTGAGCAAAACTTTATGGTTAAAAAAATTAAAATAGAGAAGTTTCTACCCATTAACTGATTTGTTTTTCACTGTGAGCATCCATCTCATTTGCACCGGGCGTGGTTCCAGAATGAGCAGGCGTTGTCCCTGGAGAGCATAGCTCGAGAATCCCTACTCTTGAGCATGAAGGCTAAGCTCTTTGGCATATGACCAATGTGCCCCTTCCAGCTCTGACCCCACCTTCTCTTCCAGCCGCATTTACGACCGCTCCCCTCTCCTCTACCATTCCCTCTGGCCAAGAGTTGGAATTCCCGAAATGTTCTGTCCTTTTCTTCTGTGGTTTTACATATAGTGTTCTTCTACTGTTCCCCCCACCCCTTGATGGCCAGATAAGCTACTACTCTTTCTTCAAGATTCAATCCAAATGGGTCTCTTTTTCTTTTTGCCACACCGCATGGGCATGTGGGTGCTTAGTTCCCCGACCAGGGATTGAACCCACGCCCCGGAAGCGTGGAGCCCCAACCACTGGACCACCAGGGAAGTCCCTCAATGGGTCTTGAGGTGCCTTCCCTCACCTCTCTGGGCCTCCACCTCTCCAAGGTCTTGCTCCTGACTGATTATATCACTTATCACGTTACTGGTCGTTTGTGGAACTATCTGGCACCTGGCCTGGGCGCTCCCTCAGGTCATGGCAAAGGTTCTTGTCACCCATTTTTCTTGAGTCCTCTGGCACTGAGCACAGTGGCTGATATGCAGCTCATATTTGTGGAATGAAGAGTAAAATTTCAAAGGAAGCAAAGTTTATCTTTAGAAACTTCCAGCTCCCTACAGGGGTCCCCTCTCCATCTCTCTGGTACCTCTTCTCTAACCCTAGGCACTCTGTACTCTCATGCTGCCCACTGGTAGAAATCCACCAGGATCTGCCATTATTGCTACAGCCCAGGCTTCAGAATTTTCCCTCAATATCCTGCCAAACTTTACCCAGTCCTGTGTCCCATCCCTCCACGACTAGATTTCAGATAAACCAGTGGTTCTCAAACCTCAGCATAAATTAGAATCCCCTGGAGGACTTATTCAAAGGATCCCAGTCCTCAAGGTTCTGATTCAGTAGGTCTGTCTGGCCTGGGGCCCGAGAATTTGCATTTCTAACTTCCCAGGTGATGCTGAGACTGCTAGACAAAGACCATATTTTGAGAAGCACTGGAATAAAATAATGTAAAGCCAGGGGCAACAGGTAATAATGCACAAAGGAATCCTTAATTCATCTTGACTCAGCCCCTTCACTGAGTTTCTGGTTCTATCAGCACTGTCTGCATTTGGTTAATCTCAGATCATTTTCCCTCTGCTTCACCTTGTCCTCTTCCTCCAGCTTTCTGATCTTACTTTTCAGAGGCTTCTCAGAGCTTCTCCACTTTAGACCAACTCTAGTATCCTCTTTCTCCTTTCATAAAGCCACAGTTTCAGGACAAAGCCCTTTGCTGAGCTCTTAGCTCCACTTCACTGCCCTCCTCCCCTTCCCTGTCCCCTTCCCTCATCCAGTCTGAGCACCCCCTGCCCCAGCCATCAGGGTGACTTTGCTAAAGCTTGACTATAATTAGGCCCCCTCCTATCTAGCAGGGAGGGCCATTTCCCCTCCCCGGGGAGTCCTGTTCCACAAACAACATTAGCAAATTAATGACAGTCACCTGCTGGCCTGGGGAAGTCGCTGCTTGCTCCAGCTTCCTTAAGGACAGTGGAAACACTGAAAACACCACATTTACAGGCTTCCGTTTATTCATTCACTCAACAAACATTGAGCACCTGCCAGATAACTGCGCTGGGCCCAAGGGACCCCACCAGGACACATCAAACATGAAGACATGTTCATGGCAGGGCCTGAGGGTCCACAGTGCCTCTTCAGGAAGGGGATCTTTTGGTCCCACTCATCAACGGGGACAGACATTCAAGGAAGCAACTGACCACTCGTCAGTTGGTCGGAGCAACTGACTCTTGCCTCGGCCCTCCCGTGTCTGCCCCGTGCCTGGGCAAGTGACACAGCACCAAAGGCAAACCCAGCGAACTCCCAAATTTCTTTGTTTTCATTTTATTTTTTCCCCCTCCCTCCCTCCAAGCTTCTTTGTTTAAATAAGTATTATAATCCACAGCATTCAGTTACTGGCCTCTTGCATTGAGTCAGGTAAGGTATGTAAAGCCCAGAAGCAGTGAGCTAAAACCTCTCTACACATATGCACACAGCCACTGACACACACATTGACATGTACATACTGACACACACACAATACCGGCATGCACATCTTTTCATACATACCAACACACACCAAAAATGCACACTGACACACACACATCGACACAGACACACTCACTGAAACACACACACTGGCAGGTACACGAGAACAAATACAAACATAGGAGTAAGCACATGCCAGTACACACACACATTGACATGCACTGAAACACACAGACACAGCTGACGCACACTGGCACAGACAAATGCACACCTAATCACACATCAACAGCAAGCCGCACCCCACGGAAACCGGGAAGCCCAAGCCCCAGGAGGCACTTGCAGACGCAGGTGACAGGTCTTGGAGGGACCAAGGGGTTGAGGGAGACTTGAGTTACACACTTGGTTCCAGTCTGCGAGGTCTAGCGTTTTGGAGGCGGAGGCCTCTGCGAGGTTCTGAGGGTCCCTAGGGACAGGTGGGCAGAGGGGGGCACACTGGCGGGGCACCAAGGGTTCCCCGCTAAGGTACCCCCAGCGCTGGGCCGAAATGCACGGAGCTTTGGGGAGTGCAGAGCGCTAAGGCGGGAGGGCGGTGCTGCTGGGGGCAAGCAGGATTCCCCGGGAGCCCCGCAGTCAGCCAGCCCAGCTCTGCTGGGCCCTCCGCCGGCTCGCCCAGGCTCCGGGTGTCAGCTCTCAGCTCTGCTTTCCAAATGTGTGCCTCTCGTCCCGCAGTCACCCAGATCCCATGTCCGGGTCAGAGCTAATGAGCTCCAGCCCCTCCCCGTCCTCCATGCCCCAGTCTTTGCTGGGAAGACCTGTCTCCCTGCCAGACACCCAGTCTGGAAGTAGCAAGTCCCCTCTGACTCCCCGCCCCCATCCAGTCCTGGCCCAGCCTTACAGCGGTTCCTCATATACAGCCCTGCCCCCGCACGTGGCTGCCACCCCAATCCAGGGCCTGGCGCCTCGCCCAGGCCCTGCCCCAGTGCCCTGGTGGGCCTCGGAGACAACAGCCGCCCCTCTTCTCTGCCACCACCGTCTGCCCTGTGGGCCTGTGCTGTCTGTCTACAGAACTCCCCTGTACTGTCCCAGATTGTGCCAGGCTCTTCTCTTTTGGCGCCTCCTAGGTCTCCAGCACAGTTGGCACCTCCAATACTTGGCTCTTCTGTCCCTACAGTCACCTCTTGATTGTGTCTCTTCTTTCTTCTGTACCCCTCCCCCCAATCCAAATCCTCTGCCCGCTTGTTCAGGAAATGCTTAATTGGGCGCTTGGTGGATGCCAGGCCCCGAACTAGGCACTGGGGGACGCATTTTGCGGTGTCCTTGTTCTCAAGGTTCACACGCACGTAAAGAGCTCCCTGAGACAGTGTGAGAAGCACTGTCCCGGAAGGTGGAATCAACTGCCAGGGGAGCGCTTCATATGGCCACCCCAATTTCTCTGCCTTCCCTCCTCCCCGCGCGCACGGGCCTCTGGGTTGGGTCCCTTCTCCTTCTCTCTCGTTGGTTCCCGTTTTTCTTCTTTCCTCCCTCCTGCCCCCTCCCCCAGCCGCTCCCGCCTGGGGCCATTTCCCACGCTGCATCCCGGCCCCCTCGAGGGCCCAGCTTTCGCCCATGGATCTGTCTCCCCCCGCGGTCCCGGGTTCCACTCGAGGGTCTGAGTCCCTCTCCGAGACCAGGGCACCTGTCCTCTTAAGGAGTGGAGTGGGGTGGATTGTCCCGCCCGCTTGGGCCTCGGGCACGCCAAACCTGCCGGGGTTCGCCAGTCACTAGAAGCTAACAAGGGGCCACTCCCAGGAGAGGGGGTGCGGGGCGACAGGCCGGAGAGGGGGAGAGGTGCCGAGGGCAAGGGAGGGGACCCGCGGTGGTGGTGGGCCGGGAGGAAAAGGAAAGCAGGCGGGCAGAGCCTCTGCCTTCGGAGGGTCTCCTTCTGCAGGCCGCGGCCGCCTAGTCTCGGGCTGACCCAAGGTTAAGGGGAAATCAGGGGGCGGGACAGAGCCACCGGAGGCAGGTCCGCGCTCCTCCCCAATATCCCCTTCAGTTGAGCTGGGAGCCTTCAGCCCCAAGCCCCTCCTCTGAGACTCCCCGGCGGTCCAGGCACTACGAGGGAGTGAGTCGTCTGAGCCTCCGTTCACACGCTGAGCGTCTAGGGCTCGGTGGGGAGAGGAGGCGTGGGGTCCGTTCGTATTAAGTACCCAACGGTGGTGAGCTCGGATGTGACAGCCCACAGCACCCGCCGCATGGAAACCCCAGGGCAGAAGGGGCGTCTCGTCTCAGGACCACTGGCCTCGGACTCCGCAGGTCACAGCTCAGCTGCTGTGCCCGCAGTGCGGCTCCCCGCAACCGCCTCCTTTCTAAGCTCCACCGTTGGGCGGCAGGTGCCGCAACTCGCCCCCGCCCCAGCAGCACTCCCGGGCCGGGATGGGGGAGGTGTGGGGAGGTGTGGTGGAGCAGCGAGACTCCAGCGGCGGGCGCTCCCCTCCAAGCACCCAGAGATCTCGGTGAGGAGGAAGAGGGGGTACAGGGGGCGGGGAGGAGGGAGAGGAGGACCGCAGGGCTCAGCCGCCGAGTTGTGCGCGGCGGGGGGAAGGGCGGGGGCTCCCTTCCAGCCTCCGGGGTCTGGGGACTCAGGGATGTAAGGCGAGAGCAGGGGGGTGTGTGACAATTCAGCAGAGGTCGGGACGTACCACGGAGCCCAGTGGCGAGGGGGGGGCAGAGGACGTGGTCACCGAGGGGAGCCCCCGCCCCCCTTCGCAAAGGCCTACAACTGAGGCTGCAGGGAGAGCCGGAACTAGGCTCGCGGGAGAGGGAAGCGGCGCGTTAAATCCGCCCCCTCCCCGCACCCCACTTCCGAGGGGGTGGGCGATAGAGGAGAGGTTGGAGCCGCGGCGAGGGGGCCCCTCCCTTGCACCTCCCCCCCACCGGACTTGGTCGCGCCCGAAGTGTAACACTTTCTCTTTGTCGGAGGAGCTCAACTGTTTCCTGTAGCTCGTGCAGTAGCTCCCGTTGCGGAGGCGCCGGTGGCAGCCCTGGCGGAGGCAGGAGCGATGGCAGCGACCGATATAGCTCGCCAGGCGGTGAGTGCGGGGCTTGGGTGCCAGCGCCGGGGCTGGGGGCCTCGGAAGGGCCGAGGGGACCTGGCCGCCGCCACCTCCACCGCGAGGAGGGCAGTGGGCAGCGTCCAGGAGCCAAGGCGCGGCGGGACTTCAGCTCCCGGGGTCAGCGACTCAGTCCCCTAGCCTCCCGTCCCCGAGAACCGTGGTGGCTGGCGTGCGGGTGGGGGGGCCTGGTCCGGGTTGCGGGCCAGCGACTGAACTTGCATTGCCCAAGAGCTGCAGTCGGCGCCGCCGCCTCCCTGGCTGCAGCTGCGGCCCCGCCGCTGGGGCGTTGCCGAATGAATGGCCGCACTGGCCGCCAAGCCCTCCGGGTCCCGGCACCCTGGCCTCGCTCCCTCCGGCTGCCGGGCCGCGCCCCTGCGCCCCGCAGCCCGCCGGGACCCGGGCCTCCTCAGCCAGAGGGGCTCGAGGCTGGGGGGAGCCTGGGGCAGGAGGCGGCGAGGGGTGAGGGGGGCGGGGAGGTGACTGGCTGGGGTAGGGTTTCTCCATATGCATTACATATGTGACTGCGTCTGTGTGTGTATCACTGTGTGTGTATGAGTGCACGCGCGCGCGCTCCTGCCTCCCTGGGCGGGCGGCGGTGCCCGGCTTGTCTGTGACCCTAGATGAGTCCGCCAGTTTCTTGGGGTGTGCTCGCCTCTCTGGTGCTTGTCCCTGTGTCCGAACGCTTCTCTCGCCGTCCGTTTGTGCTGTGTGCCTCTGGGTCCCATTTGTGCGTTTTGTGGAGTGCAGTCCGCTGGCCTGTAGGTGGTTGGCTGCGTACTTTGGCGTGTTTCTGAGCACCTGACCAGGGTTTTGCGGGCCTCTGGGCAGGGGGATCTCTCCCCGGTGCGTGTTCAGTGTAACTGGCTTGTGTGCCAAAACCTGTGGAGCTGGCTTCTTGTTATGGGGACTAAGGAGAATCAGCGCGACGCTTGCAAAAGCAGTGCCCTCTCTCTCTTTTCGTTGGCAGCCGACTGTGGAAAAAAAAAAAATCTTCATTTAACGAACTGAAGTTTTCCAGCCTGGGATGTGCAGAGAAATTATACTGAAGTGACCCGAGGCTCCATGTTTGTTTTTTTAGACCAGAAGTTTCGTTGCCAAGGGAGGGGATGATTCCATTTGAGGGAACAACCTAGCCTTTCTATTCATCCATGGGTATCTGGGATTTTAAGAAGCCCACAATTACCAGCTCCCTGAGGTGAGGAAGGAGAGTGAAGTTCAGGTGGGTCAGATCCCATGACACTAAATACTACGTGATGCAAATCTCTGAAACACACACACACACACACACACACACACACACACACACACGGTTTTTAAACCTTGTGGCTTACTTATTTAAGGAAATACTCCATGCAATGCAATTTCAGTGCAAAATTTTAAACCTGCTTACTTATTTAAGGAAATACTCCATGCAATGCAATTTCAGTGCAAAAAATATACATAGCATCTAGGTATTTGGTGTAATTGAAACTGATTTGTTTTCAAAATCTGAATCCAGAGTCTGATAGCATTTCCTCTCCAGGAAATGGATACATTTATTCCATCCTCTTGTTCTTGTTTGGAAGGGCAAGGTGATTTCTTTGGAACCTCCCCCACCCCCCTGAAAGACCCCAGCATGGAGCTCCTTATGCAGTCATGATGTGGAAGGACCAGCAGAAGATGGGAGGCAGTGCTCTGTGATAGTGGAATTTGAGAGAATTCTCTTCTCCCCAAGATTGGCACTGTAATATGTATTGCTTTAGTGTTTTGAGGGTTCCCAGAGTGCCTTTCTGCTCCTCCATTATCTGCATTTTAGAGATGGCATGCCTTAAGTAGAGGACTTAGTCTCCTGGATTCCACTTGCTCCATCCTTAGTGACCAAGAAGGACACTAGTGATTTTTCTTGTCAGCTAATTAATTTGCATCGACCTGCCCATACGCTCTCACCAGTCCCCCTAATCTGAATCAAGATTGCAGGGCCAATGTAGCAAAGGGGAACGTTCCAGAAGGTTGTGTTTCACCTCTGGCAACCCAGAGATCCCCTTTGTTCTGCAAATGGAGGTGGGGGTGATTTAGGGCCACTTGGTTTGCTTTGCTTGTTTCCAGTTTGCTGTGGCTGGCCTTGCCCTACCGTATGATGAAGAACATAATTGTTGGCCAGATTCTGAAGCTGAAAGAGCAGCCCGAGCACTTGAGACCTTGTTATCGTGATAAATGGGTTTCTGGGAAAACTGACGTCACTCTCCATGCCCCCCTCCCCCAGCCAGTGAAGCTCTTGTTTATGTGTCATTTGTCTCTCTGCCTGCCTTTGTGTCTGCAAGAAGTTGTAATTCACCAGGGGAAGATGGAATTAACTCGGGAGGCCTTTGGATGTCTGGCTGCTGATTGTTTCTTCCTGGGAACGAGTATCCAGGATTTGGGAAAAGAAGACTGGAGACTAAACCTAAGTGTGCCTGGCTTAGGAGTTCTTTTTAATGAGCTCTGAGACATGGTGCCCTGCAAGTAGTGCTCTGGTGTGTGTGTGAGGGATGGGCTGTCCTTTCCAGAGTCAGTTGAGGGTCACTCTGGCTTGTAAGGTAACATCATTAGTGACAAAAACAGACCTTAGAGTTAGTTGCTGGATAGGATCCTTATTTGGGCATGCATGCAACTTGGAGGTTCAGCTTTTGTGTACATAATACAATCCCATCCCATCTGAACGAACACCACAAAGATTCTGTAGGACAAAACTGTTTCTTCATCATGTCCACAAGTGTTTATTTGATTGACTGCTAAGTGTCCAGCACTATGGCTGGCTCTGGTCAACTGTACCAGAAAAAAGTAGTAGACATAGTTCCTGGCTTTTACGCTTATTGCAGTCTAGTTGGAGAGACAAATTGTGGACATGGTGAAATAATTAGAGAACTATAGAAGATTCTTGGGATGTTTCCATCCCCAACCCCTGCCTGTGAGGTGGCTTGGGCTGCTGTTAATATATACTCTGAGAGGTTCCATGACTTGTCCAAGGTAACTTGGCACGGCACGGTGCAGCCAGGTAATGGTCTTTCTCCCTAAAGAAAGAGCTTGCAGGGCCTAATGCTGCCCTAGCTGTGCTGGGCCTGCGGCAACTGTCCCGGGGCAACTACCCCAAGGCAACCGCCTACAGGTGGCTGCACTCTGGTCTTGCTATCAAATGACACTTAACCTTGATTTCCATTGAAGTGCCCTGCCTCAGCCATCTCCACCACCTCGCACTAAAAGTCATATGATGCCCCAAGCAGGGAGAGGAAAACCCCAATATCCACCCATACCTCTACTGTGAATACAGCACTGAAGAAAATTTGCATGGCGCCAAATATTAAAAATTCTTGAATCTAGGTCGTGGGTATATGAATGATCATTGTACTATTTTCCAACTTTTCTGTGTGTTTGAGACTTTTCAAAATTAAAAGTTGGAGGGAAATTACAATGTCCGCCCTCCTCCCCACAAATGCACATGGCCCCTGCCCTCAGGGAGTTTACAGTCTAGTAGTGGAGGCAGACACAAATAATTATAATTATCTTTGTGATGTGCTGCAGAGCAGTGCTACTGCCCGCTAGGATAATTCATTATGAGGGGACCTGATCCAGCAGTGGACAGGGGCGGTGGGTGACAGGAAAGCTTTGCTGAGGGCTTTAACTAGGAAAAGGGTAGGTGTGAAGATGGGTGAGATCTCACTTCTGCTCCCAGGCTGGGAACATTTCATTTGTTAATTCACGCACTTTTATTTTCATTCATTCCTTCAACATGTGTTTATTGGGCACCGACTCTGCCAGGCCCTGTGCCAGGTGCTGGGGATATAGTGGTGGCCATGGCACACACGACAGCCCTCTCAGAGCTTCCCCGTGAGAGGCCGGTATAAGCCCCATTTCCTCTTCATATCCTAAAACCTGGAAATGTGAGTGTTCACGGCATTCTTATTAAAAAACTGCATTACAGCCGAGCGATTTGTCTGTATAGTATAATGAGACTTTGATCTGCAGTCATGTGCACAGCATTTACTTTGTAGAGTCTCTGCTGTAAATTTTCTATTAATTGCTGGCTTTGTTACCCAGTACGGCCCCTCCCTTTTTGTGCTGTAAGGGAGCGAACCCGTTGCATTAGCCTGAGCAAAACTAATTAGAAAGATAAGTCCCCTGGATAAAGGTATTCCAGAACTAAATAGGGCTGATTTCTAGACTTGCATGGGCTTCTGGATTATCTGAGCCTTGGTTTTGTATTATCGTGAACAATTGAGGAGCGCTTTCAGTTGCATTTACGTTAAAACCACATTCCAGAAAGAAAGAAACAGAGAAAAGAAAAGAAAGAAAAAGAATACTGTAGATAAGTGTAACATGTCTCTTTCAACGATCTCAAAACGCTTCCATCTGTATGATTTCATTTTCCCTAGCAGCTTCCTGGATGAGTATTACTGTTCTTTTCAATTTATGGGTTCAGGGAGACCAAATGACTTAGTCCAAAGTGTTATTGCTGGTCAGTGGATGAAGCAATGAAACACCTTCCAGATGACACAGATTCGTTTTTATAAAAAAAAAACCTCTGGCCTTTTCATCATGTTTCCAAGAAATAAAAATCCTGCCATGTCCCCTCTTCCCCCTCTTTTCACTGCGACCCCCCCACCCCCACCTCAGTATACTCATGGAGGTCGAGAAGAGTATACTTGGGTGCTTTGAAGACTCTCTGATGTTAAAAAGGATTCTCAGCTTAAACCCCAGATAGCACAGTCGTGGCTATGTGTGGGCTTTCTTCCTTCCCTCCTTCCCTCCCTCCCTCCCTC